GAAAATGCAATAAGACGTCTTAGTAAAGAACCGCAATTGTTACAAAAGTATGGAGAAATCATCAAAGAACAAGAAAAGCGCGGGTTTATAGAGAAAGTCGAGAAGGATTTAGTTAAACCAAATACCAAGTTACATTATATTCCGCATCACGCAGTGAAAAAAGATTCCGCAACGACACCTATCAGGATCGTGTATGACTGTAAAAGCTTAAATGATTGCTTACTTAACATTCCTCCGAAGTTAAATGATGTAACCGCAATACTTTTAAGATTCCGCATGAATAATTACGCCGTGTGTATAGATATTAAAAAGGCATTCCTCAACTTTGGACTAGACATTGAAGACCGGGACGTCACCAGATTTTTCTGGTTAAGCAATCCAACAGACCCAAGCAGTTGTATCACGACTTATAGGTTTAAGACTGTATTATTTGGAGCCACCTGTTCATCATTTATATTAAATGCTGTTTTATCAATACACATCAACAACCACCAGACACAATTTACTGACAATTTAATGAGAGTTTTATACGTAGATAATATTGTTTCTATTTTATTCCGAAGATGAATTGTCACAATATTTCAAAGTTGTTCGCAAATTATTTACAGATGGTGGATTCAATTTACGCGCATGGGAATCAAATAACAAACTATTACAACAATTTGCAGAATCTGAAAAAGTTATCGACACAGCACAGGTAGTTAAAGTATTATAGGCTTGCGTTAGAATACAGATCACGATACGTAAAGTATGCTGAAAATATTCTAGACACGGAAATAGACCTCATCACGAAAGGCGAAGTACTTAGAGAATCGTCCAGGATTTATGATCCACTCGGGATCATCAGTCCAGTTACCGTGCGAGGTAAAATGTTTATGCAGACATTTTGGGTCGAAAATATGAAGTGGGACGAGCAATGACCTGATCATATGAAAAGAGAATGGATTGACATCAGACAAGATATTAATGAAGCAACAAAGACCGTTATACATCGTCACTACTTTACAAATTCTCGGATTCTAACAGCGACAATGTGATACATGTATTTATGGATGTTAGCATGATTCTACGGGAGCTTGTGCATACCTAGTTTCGGAAGAAATCAAGTTCAATCTTAATGTCAAGAAATCGAGTAGCACCGTTAAAACAGTTAACAATTCCAAGACTAGAACAAATGGCTGCAGTAATTGGAAGTCTACTTTTATCTCATATTTTGTCTCATATCAATGTTAATCGTGTTATATTATGGAGCGATAGCCAAATTGTCTTGAGCTGGTTGAGTTCGAACAAGACGTTAAAACAATTTGTCGCTAATAGAGTGAAAGAAATCAAAGAACTGACAGAAAAGTTAACATGGAAATACTGTCCAAGTGAATCCAATCCAGCCGATTTACTATCAAGAGGAATCACAACTCAAAAGTTTAGAGACAACGTGTTATTGATGAACGGCCCTGATTGGTTAACGAACGAGAATATATGGCCTAAATGGAAAATAGATGAAACGCAAATTATGCCAGCAAGTGCTCAACTTGAAGTTACAGTTGATACGAAACAAATACTGAGTACACACGCAGGAAATCAATACCATAATTGACATTGACAGATTTAATTCTTTCAAGAAAGTTTTGAGAGTCATAGCCTACGTTCAAAGATTTATAGTTAACTGTAGATCGAGAGAAAAACGAACTGGAAATCTTAATACGCAAGAATTACAGAATGCAACGTATACTTTGATACAGAATTACAATTACAGAAAAGTTGAACAACTATGGTACAACATGGACATTTATACCAAAACGCGCACCGTAATACGGTGGCTTTTGGGAAAGATTGGTAGGGATTACAAAAGACTGTGTTAAGAAGGTTTTGGGACGTTCCCTTATCAATATAGAACTTCTTAAGACTATTGTGACTGAAGTTGAAACTATTATGAACGACCGTCCGTAGACTTACGTATCGTCAGATCCTTTAGATGAACCGCTAACGCCATCACATTTACTTTACGGACGTCGGATCACAACACTTCCATACCCTGATAATAGAGACATTGAGCATTCGACGCTTGAGATGACTCATGAATCTGTGAATAAACTGTCTCGATTGAATTCTCAAATTATTCAACAGTTTTGGTACAAATGGAAACACGAGTATCTTACTTCTCTTCGAGAATATCATCGATACACCGGAAAGGATAATCAAACAATCAAAGTTGGAGATGTAGTACAAGTGTACGAAGAATCACCGAGGACAAAGTGGAATCTAGCTGTTATTGAAGGTGATGGGAAAACGAGATCTGCTGTTATACGGACAAAAAAATGGACTCACTTCACGTCCAATAACAAAACTTTATCCTCTCGAAGTGTCAGAAAATAGAGACTTTACTATAGACAAAACTTGTGATCTCAACAATCCTTCTACTTCTAGAAACTTAAGCCGTAAAGCGAAAAGTGTTGCCACAAAGAAACTTAAAAAAATGGACAAACGGAAATAATTCATAATTAAGAGACTGTAAATTCAATTTTATTTAGTTTTTCATATATATATATATACATACGCAATCATAGGTTTGAACGTCGTTTTCAATTTAGACTTGATTATATTTTTTCGTTTGGGCTAGTATTATATTTTCCTTCGGGTTTATATGATCCAATCATCCTATTTCGACTCTTTAAAATTCAAGAGTCTATCCTAAATTGAGGTGAATTTTATGGCCTTCCAAATACTGTTTCGATCCCTAACATCACTGAAGAAACGTTAATTGTCGAAATCCGGATATGGTGTACTAATTTTCGCACCTTTTGTTTGCGGTATACCATCTTTTCCGCAAGTTTATTGTTTTCTGTTTGGTATTAGATTATTAATTTTTAAAGATCCATTTTGTAACATCTTGTGATCCGTTTATTTGGCAATCGCCAATGGCAGTCAGCAGGGTTTAAGAACATCAGTTATTCGACCTGTTAGTCAAATGCGTTTTGTTAAAATATACTTTTTCACTTTTTTGGTCTTTTGGGAAATGTTGTTTGTGCTGTATTTAGACCCCTCTACCATGAAATTTGTTATGCATGCACACGTATAGAAATTGCAGTTTTTATCCAACGCAATCGTAGGTTTGAACGTCTTTTTCAATTTAGACTTGTTTATATATATAGATATATACACATTAACTCATTTCAGACACTTCAGAGTTTTCAGTAATTTTTCAAGTGTCAATTGATATTGTAGTTTTAATATTTTTAATTTCATCTTTTGCTCGGCCCGAGTAAGTTGTGAAGTTTGCTTACTAGATGAACAGTAAAGCACGCCGCTTGATTGTAACGTCACTATAGTTGACGTACTGCTTTTAGCTTTCAATACATTATCAAACTAGCAAGACGTCTGTTATTTTACTTTATGCCATTGTACGAAATCTTAGCCACTATACACAATAACCAGGTTCAATCCACCATTTTCTACATTTGAGAATGCCTTACCAAGTCAGTAATATGACTGTTGTTGTCCATTCGTTTGATGTGTTTTATCATTTGATTTTGCCATTTGATTAGGGACTTTCCGTTTTGAATTTTCCTCGGAGTTCAGTATTTTTGTTATTTTACTTTGTACGGTAATTTTGATCCGTCATTTTATTATGGGAGTAATGATACTAATACTTTAATCGGTATGGTGACAATGAATCCGTCTGAACGCAAGTTTTCTTTGATGATTTTTTGGATGTATTAATTGTCACCATAATTAGTTGACTATATTATACCGTTATGTTGATTTGACAATTTTTAGACGAAGGATGATACTTTTTTTGGAGTATATTCATGAGGTCACTTTGTGAACGCAACACCCCTGAAACCATTCGACAGAAAACTCTCATAATTGATCAGGTTTTTTTTTCCAATCATGTGTAGTTGAACATATTCCTTATTCAGTAATTTTGATTTAATCGTTTCTTCGGTAGTTATTGGACATTTACGATATTGTGACTATCGTACCACAATGACATTGTATTATACACAATTTGCTTCCTCCTTAATATATAATAGGTGACATTTCAACGGCATAGCTGTTTGTATTTTGTAAATGAAATAAAACAATAAAATGAATTATGTGACACTCTTCTTGTTTGGATTTATAATAGAATTTATAGAATCTAAACGCAAAATTAAAAACACCATGAGTATCTTCCTTACACACATGTGTGTAAATTTATCCTATCATAATTATTCTGTATGGGAAGTCAAAGAAAAAAGAAAAAAGACAAAATGCATTATGTGAAAATGCTTACTCTTGGTCTTGGTTTGGTTAATCAACCATTCAACGTTTGCATAAAGAACTTGCAATTCCATGCTTTTGTCTCGATCATAACTTTTGAACATAGCTCATCATAAATGCGCAATATGATTGGTATTGTGAATAGCATGAACAAAATTAATATGAGCCGCGTCGGACAGAAATCGACCTTATGCATAAAAAAATCTCAATTTGAGTTTTGTTCATATTCATTTTGCTAATAGTCATACAATTTGAAAACAAAAAAACAGTTTTACATTAGCTTTCTTTCGCCATTTCAAAGTTTTGTCGGATAAATATATTTACCTTAGAATCTCACGACAACGTCGAGAAATTAACGTTATCGTGCATTAATTTTATTCTGTATCGGTCCTTAATTTGATACGACTGTCATACAAGTGAGAGGTTTAGCGCTATAAAACCAGGTTCAATCCACCATTTTCTACATTTGAAAATGCCTGTACCAAGTCAGGAATATGACAGTTGATGTCCATTCGTTTGATGTGTTTTGTCATTTGATTTTGCCATGTGATTAGGGACTTTCCGATTGAGTTTTCCGCGGAGTTCAGTATTTTTGTGATTTTACTTTTTTCTCGAAATAAAGAGAGACATGAAAACATGCATTTGTATACAATATTTAATTTGATTTATAAGATTGTTACAATACAAACATAAATGATTCTCAAGTTTTCAATCCAACTGCAACCAGCATATGTACAGTTTTACTCCTCTGAAGCACGAGGACAAAATTCATCACGGAAATTAAATTGAACGAAAGGACGGACTTCGTTGTACAGATAACGCCTTCTCTCCTCTGTCAGCCCTGCTGGCTGAATAACTTCTGGAAGTGTCGTGATCAACTCCGGTACGTTTGCGCTTTCTTTTAGAAGGACCAGTCTTTTCTCCGGTTGATCAAGAGTTTCTCTCGCAAATACGACTCCTACTTCGTCACTGGTAAATCTGAAGTGATGGAATTTTCCTATACCTTTGAGTGGTTTGAAATAATTAGTGAAGAAATTATCCCATCTGTACCACTTTAAGCTGTTTTCGTCATCGTCATTTTCATTATAAACTTCTGACCTATTGCATTTGGCAGAATTGTCAACAATTTTAACCAGTTGTGATACAGTGTTTACGTCCGACTTTCTAAATTTCTTTTTCAACATGCCAAAACATGCGTCACACAAACATTTTGTGTGCATAGCAATCATAAAATGCAAATTAATAGTTTTGTGTAAACCCTTTGCGCACCTCCACAACAGATAGTGTAAAGTAGTTTTATCTGGCTAGTATAATAGTCCAAAGTTTTATTTTTGTTTTGTCCCACGGAATTTTCAGCATAAAAATGACACGCCTTTTCACCGTAAGTGTTACCATGCAGATAATGGTGCAGCATGCTTAAAACAGCATTTGGGTCATGTGTCCGACTACCATTTTCCCCGATTGTTTGTTGCTCATCAATCAAATAATTCGTTTTCATTGGAAAGTTTTCATCGCAAACTCCAAATATTTGAACCTTTCGAGGTGTTAAAAAGTAAAGAGCTCCAACCTGTTGAGACGAATGTGGCAAGTTTACATATTGTGAGAAGTCAAAAGTGTAATGAACATTTTCAAATTGTTTAAACATGGAGTGTTATATTTTCCTATATTTGTGTTGTTGTTTCTTTTAAAATTTTCCAAAATGCAACGGTACAATGATATGAATAACTTTTGACTTTATTTTTTTTTGCGTGTGTACGGCAAATTAAAGTTTTAATTGCAATACAGCACAAATTTCGTTATTTATAACCACCAGAAATAGTTTTCAGCCAAGTACCTTAGTTTAGTAAAACTTAAGATTTGTATAGAATTATTTTTATGACAGATGTTATGCTACTAAACGAAATTAAAATACATTTTTACTAAAATAGATAGTACTTTCACTTTGTATAAAATGTAAAAATAGATCGTGGACGTAAAAATAGTTCAATATTTAGAACGTATTAAGAAATACATACCTGAGCAAAACAATGTATTCTTGTAAGCCAAAACTGATGCTAAGATTGATAAATATGTTATTAAGAAAAGAACAGGATGCAGGAGAAGAAACAGTGGTTATTTTATTAAAGGGAAAACGGTACTATTTATTCTGCCATAGGCGATAATAGTAACATTTTCCAAATTCACCACTTTTTATAACAAAAACCTGGATAAAACAGTTATGTGTGGTGTTAGTACTTTATTATTCTGATTTAAAAATTGAAGCCAAATAGTATCATGACCAACTTCCAACGAAGCTTGTTTATGTTATCCATGCCCACCGTCATTTTACACAAAATTTATGAAATTTTGGAAGTCTTTTAGAATAATTCTCTAGAAAATATTTCAATAGGTTTCAAAATTTATATTGTAAATATACACACTGCAGTTATTCATAGATACATCAAAAAATATATTGTACCCTTACATCCAATCACAGCGCTCCTAATTTGACTTCCTTCACCTGCCTTGGGTACACAAAAGGCCAACCTAATGCTTGGAAAATGTAATAGTACCATTTTCCCTAAAGCAGACGACACGCGACAGGCAGGTGACGGTTCCAAGATAATTTGAAAATGTTCATGTCGGACCGGATAAGGCGGTTTCCGTGAAAGATAATCTGCATTGTTTACTTAATTTATTAGGAATAATATACTAATTTTGTCCTATATGTATAGAATACGTTAGCCATAGACCCGATTTAATCAGATTCAAATTGTATGGTTTCCCCGAGAGTTTAACATTATGTAAACAGTGCATGACCAAAAGTTTTTTTTTACAAATTTCATATAAAACCCCACTGTTTCAAAAAAATATTTTGAAGTAATTTTATGTTGGATTTTCACAAATAGGGAGTTAATTGACGCAGAATCGTCTAAAGTATACTAGTTGAATTTGTCATAGTTTTGTCGTCCATTAGTTTTGTTTTCTCATGCTATAAACATGTATAATAGTTTCTACAATTTAATTTCGTTGAAATACAAAAGAAATTTTTGAACAAAAAAAATACTGGTTATATTACCAAATATTGAAAACGTTCTACAACGAAATACAAATATAACTGTGACAATTTTGCTTCTTTTGGTACCAAGTACATTAAAATCCGACCAGAAATGTTCCCACAATAATTTATTGAAAAAACGTAGTTTTCTGAGAAAGAAACATGGAGTTTTTTTTTATAACGTCAGTTATAACATGTATGAAAACGATGCGAATCTTTATCGTAACGTTACTCGGTTTGACGTCGAATTGCATAAGGGCGATTTCTATTCGACGCGGCTCATATATTAAAACAACATTTAACTCGATATAATCCCGGTAATCAACTTACATGCTCTAACAGGGGCATACATTTATTAGTCATCTACCGGCAATGGTCATATGTTTTGAATTTTTAAACAATGACAATGTTTGATATAGTAATCTTTTTTCTTAAACTTCATTTACTAGTAATTAACTGAAATAAAAACACAACAAATCAAAATCTCCAGAGAGCACATTTGTGTATTGTCGACGAAGGTTTGAGAAACTTAACTAAGATGAAGTAGACACAGCAGACTGTATAAAAGTGAGAAAAAATGATATGTTTTTTTTTGTCTGTTTATTTAATACACACATCATTTCCTCATAATCTGTATGATGAGATAACACGACAGGAAAACATTAGCTGTCCAAATCATGTTTACCAATTTGACTAATTTTCATTCTTATTTTGCAACTAGAAATTGACAACGAGGGTCGGATTGGAACATAACTTTGCGAGATGATTTCAGCTTCCCAATTGTGAACTTTCCGTTTCTATATAGCAATTTCTATTGAAAGAAAATTTCCAGAAGTTGTATTAATTTTATTTACATTTTTTTTAAACTTTCACAATAAATTAATACAACTGCAAATAACAAAAAAAACATAATGAAAATAATACTTTAGAAATGGGATCTTGTAGTTATTACCCTCCTTATCAGAAAGAAATATAAACGTAAAAAAAATGATAATAGATACATTTTGTAATATCAATTAAAATTTTCTAAGGAAAATTAATGATAAAAATATATAAATAACAAAGCATAAACAACTTTTGCTTATAGATAAAACATAATGCCAATATAAATACCGTTTTAGATAGGAAAACAAATGGTTTAAAGATTCACAATAAAATCCAAGTATTCATACTTTATTTAAATAGGGAATTAAAGGTAAAAGTTTACTCAGTTATATCATAGTAATGCACCATATTATCAATAAAAATTCAACACACTAATACATATCAATCAAATATATATATATATATATATATATATATATATGAAATACAACGGAAAAGTCAAATGTCAATATGAAGAAATTCAAAAATGAAGAAAAAATAACGTCATTTACATGTTACACTACTAAACATAACATACAAAATGAGGTAGAAAAAGACAGAATTATGGTTTTTATAACGTTTTACATTGTGTCTAGTTTTTGCTTGTTTAGAACCTGCATTATCGTATATTCTCTTTCCTTTCTATGTTGGAAAAACAATTATTCAAATTTCAGTACATTTGCTCTGATCAACTAATCATTCATGTAGTCAAACAGTACCATATTAAATAACGTAAATGAGCATAACGTAAAAGAATTATTACAGAAATATTTTTTTTCCATTAACAATATGTAGTAAGTTTGTTTAAGATTCATATCTAAGCATTTGTTTACATTAAAACGAACACTTAATCTGTCCTCACGTTTATTTCACGTTCTCTTAAAGCTAATTGAATGGGGATTGATATTGCTTATATATATCTGATATCCCTGTCGAACATGTTAAGGCATATTTGGACGCACTGTTAAGATATTCGTGTATTTCGTAAGACCGCATATTGACCCAATATATTTTTGTTAGGTTTTGTGTCTTTAATGAATACTAATATAACTTTGCAATGTCCACAATGAAAACACATAACAACTGCAACAATGATATAAGTATAAAAAATAACACTAAACAAATTGCAAGTTTTTCTCTTTTAACCTACTTATCACGATTGCTCAAACAAGAGAATTTGAAACATTCACATAAACAAAGAAATGAATAATATGAATACAAGATTTACCAAAAACTTAACGTAAAGAATATATAATTAACAAAAAAAATCAAAATCAAAAGATGAGATCGTATTAACAAGCAAAATATAGACAACCAAACGTATGTTACAAAATAGGCTAAAATAATTGTTTATACATCTTCTCTCACTGGCAACATACTGCTGATTTCTGCATTGTTTGAATCTGCATTATATTCTGTTCTGTTTATGATATGTTCTGTTAATATAAACATTCAAAGTTTAGTAAATTTGATCTTTTCCAAAAACATATATACATAAAAATATTTTTAAAGTGTATTTTGAAAAAAGCAAGGAATATCAATTCAAATGCCAATGTTGATTTTAATATGACAATTGTTCAATTGAAAAGATGCGAGCATACATGTGTAACCGGCAATTAGGAGATAGATTATATTACACGTTAACAGTGTGTCCCATGCAAAATCTAAATTCACGCTTCAAATTTTGGTATTTAGTCCGGCCCTTTAAAAAACTAAATTAATTATCTGTGAACATGACACGAAGACATATATCAGATGCTCAAATTAAAGATGTAAAGGTAAATTATCAGCATGCGATCAACAAGAATGTCTTTTAAAGTTATTGAATGTCAGATGGGCTATCACAATACTGTAGTCAGCTGGCATGTTAGAAATCAAAGATGAACGAATCGATAGTTTTGATACGGCACATACACCAAAAAATATCCAATCAAATATCCCTTCTAGTGAATAATATAGTGATGCAGGTTTCATGACCGCAAGATATAGATCCTTATACTATCAATATACCAGCCAGTTGTTCTGTCACATTTTGAAAACCACCTACTGGCTGTCAGACCTATGTTATGGATGACAACACCAGGCTGTATCGTTGAAGGACAGTAACGGCATACATACGCGTTACATATGCTTGTACAATACTGATGACGATGTACACGTCCTGTCGATATAAACCAAGAGTAAATATTGCTTTTCTGACCGGTCCAATACGGAAAAAGCCGTATTGGCACATAAGCTGATACGGGACGTTCACTCTAAGTTTCAGTTTTCTTACTCCTAGGCTTACTAAACTTTCGACGAACCGTTATTCATAAAATGCATTTGTATCATATGTTTAAACTTAATATAATACAAAAAAAAGTTTAAACGAAGTGAAATGTTAAGTAACGTCTTGAAACGGAAATATTTCACAGCTTTTTTTAGTATATCTTTGGATGATAATCAATGTTTCATTTCCGTTGATCAATCAATCCTCCGAATCAGAATGAACACGATTCCAAATGCTGTATATTTGCTAGATAACATGAATTGTAAAATATTTGGTAATTAAGCATCGTGAAAGCGAAAAGACAAGTTCGGATATGAATTTCTGAATCTTCTACACGCTAAATTTCTTTGTTTAATCGAATAATATGAATAATTTAATTAAACTCCGAATCTTTAACAGGGCAAAACAGTCAGTTTATAACACTATAATAATTGGTAGAACTTTTTGACATCGTGTTTCAGAACCACAGCATGAAATATTAGCATAATGCTTCAAGATGTAGAAAGAAATGAAATTCAAATCAATATATGTGGTGTTATAGATTATTATTCACACTGCTCTCATATACTACTTTACTATACCTTCATTAACAGGTGTAGGTGCTTCAACATCCTCTCTGTCATTGTTCATATTGTTAGTCATGCAGCTTTTAATATGACATCCCCATCCCTGTATTCTTTTCATCAGATTTTCACCTATAAATGATACATACACTTTGAATTTGAGGGATCAAATCGTGTATTCAAAGGTACAAAAAACATACATCATAAAATATTTTTGTTTCAATTTAGAATCATTCCGATTATCAATTTTGGAATAACTCGGAAAGCCAAAACAGGTTGTATTTGACAAAATCAAGTATAATTTAAAGATCAATTGCTATTATAAATTTTTTTCACTTGTCTTAAATCATTGTTTTGGTAGGTTGGTATTGTTATTAATACCAAACAACCAGTTGATGCATATCATCTATTGTTTGGTTGGTTTGTATTTTTGATAGTTGTGTGTGTGTGTGTGTTTTGGTTGATTGATTGCCTTATTTATTAAAATTTTGCATATTGGCATACCATCAAGTTTTACCAATTCATTATTCGATGAATTAGATTGATGATTTAATGTATTGGTCGACTGATTGAATACCCATTGAGAAATATTAAACACACAGTTTTGTTGTCTTTAGAAAAAGTGTGCCCCTCCCTTCTCTCCAAATTAGAAACCCAGACGAGATATCCTTAGTAAATACATATAATTTGGTCTCTAGCAAGCTGCAAAAAAAAAGATAAATGGAGGGGATATGTCCGTTTACTGGTACGTGCTACAGTTTTTTTTAAATTAAAATAATGCCATTTTTTATGCAAGGGTTGCAACAAACTACCAAGAAAAAAGTATATTGGTATTTACCTTGCTTCATTTTCCTTATTACTGAGGACCCTTAATTTCCAATATTCAAATTGGTAAGGTTGTATTCTATTTCAGGGCCAGCGCGAGGATATCGATGCCAAAAACTCAAATGTTTGTTTGTATAGAATTAAAATGCTTTCCGATTTAGGTCAGGAATCTAACAGGCAACATGCAAATTTCCCGGGTGGACGTTATGTATAGTTCTAGTGGGAAAAGGTGATATTTTCATATTCATTTATTGTTAAACTCAGTGTTATCGCTTACTAGGAGTCTTCATTAATTGAATGCAAAATGTTGTATTGTAAGTAAATTACCAAAAAAATTTCGGCTTTTTTCAGAAAATTGAAATTCTATTTTATAGGAAATATGTATGTGCATAAACCTGTTGCATCTTTAGAGTTATATTTAAAGAAGACAATGTCTATGTTTTGTGAATTGTGTTCAACGTTCTAAGCAGCTTATTGGTTGATTGATATATTTCATTGGCATTGGCCAAATAAAATGTCATCGTATCATATTGACCAAACTTTTTTCCGACATTCCACACCTAACATTCCGAGTTATTTCTATAACTGTATCTGGACAGTATTGATAACAAAAAATGTCATGCACTTGACCTATGACATTGATCTAAATTTTCTGTTTGAAAGACCAAATACTTCAAATCAAAATACTATAGTTTTCGATAATCTAGGTTTTTTTAGGAGTTATTTCAACATAACAATTATGTCAAAGACAAAAAGGGAAACAACTCTTAAGTCATAAATATTGTCACTGTCATTGTCATAAAGTATTATCCCTATGACCGGTTTTGTGATTATTTTCGAAGCAAGACTTTTTTTTAGAAAGTCGGATTTTCCGGAGAACACCAATGACCTGCGTTCGGAAATCTGACAATCCTAGACAATTAAAAGTCGATTGCACCCGCACGAGTCTGAATCGAACTTACAATTGCAATGTTTACTTGCTAGTGATTACAGTAGTTGAACTACTTAGTCTCCTCGGTCACCGAGGCCGCTTGTTAAACATGAAATCAACAGTAAGTTTGTAAGCAACTGAGAAGTGTCTGAAGGAACTCCAACTCGTATGAAAATAAGAAGTTGGCAAAGAGAAGCGCACAGTTCGTTCTTATAGGACAATTTGTTGAAGAATTCTACTTCCGAATTCAACAAATATCTTGTCAATTAGAAATTCCAGCATACTGATCTCTTGTTCCTGTGTGTAGCATGTTTTACCTTTTTGTTCACTAATAACAACTTTTCTAAATAATATGCCGTATGGTATCACAAAATAATAAGTTTTAAGCGTATGCTACCATTTTTATGATGAAAAGTATTGTGGATAATTAATCTAGATCATTATTTAATTTCATATGTGGAATAGTGGTATACAAGGTTAAAAAATCAAAAGTTTTGATAAATCAAATTTCCGAGAAAGATCGAGATTTAAAATCATCTTGAAGTTCTTTACATTATTTTAGAAGCCACATATGTTTAAGTCCTCCGATTTACTATTCAATGTTACGTTCATTGAAGCCATCATGGACTTATGATTCGCAAAAATCTTATTCTTGTCAAATGATATGTACTAAGGGCTCATTATTCCTAATTATTTTACAAGACACTCATAGTAGTACAATGTACATATAAACACAATATTATTTGAATCTTTGTTGCAGGAACAACAATCGTGGAGAGTTTACATGTACTTTGTCCAATCATTCACACAGTTTGAGAACTCTTGAATTCGACGTTTTATCAGAGACCTGATTGTTTTGGCCCATTCTGACAAAGTGTTTATAGAAGAAATGTACATAAAAATAAGTGGCCATCGTAACACCACCATAGAAAAAGTAATTATTTTACAACAGACAATGAAAGTTATCTCGTTTGCTGATAGATTTGAGATTATATATAAAAAAAAATCATATATAAAAAATATTGTCCAATCATGGATAAAAATCATGTTTATTAGAATTTATAAATATTTTCAACATGTTCAAGACATGCCTTTTTTAATTTGCCATATGTGTGACAGGCTAAATAAACTACTTTTGAAATGAATGATGAAAACTATTTTATTTACCTGCTTTTTTAAATCCCTGCCGGATGCTGACAGTTTTTGGATTGCTTATGAACCCAAGTGAAACAGGAGTCAGTACTGCTGACGACAAACAAAGACTAACAGGAGTTATTGTGTCTTCCTCATCTAAAATAAGTACGTATTATCAGAAATTATACTTTTCTTAAGTGCCATGAGAAATTCAAGTATGAATGAAATATGTAATACAGTGCAACCTGTATGCATACACCAAATACATAATAGTACAACATAAATAACAACTAGTTTTGGGTGAATGTCTTAGTTGTAAAGTAACTATATAAAGCATATTTTAAAAGGCTCTAATGTCGAAATATTTAACCTTTTAAAATATCGAAATAAGAAGCTTTGGTTCAAGATGAGTATCCAACAGAAAAAAATGATGTGGATGTAAAAACCTTCAGGCAAGGTTATTCAAAATGCGGTAGATAATTGTATTCACAGGACCAGTAATAAATAGCGGGAAAATTAGTATTTTTTTTAGATGATATTATCATAATAACAAGTCCCTAACGGGCCACTTTGTCAAGTAATGTTATCCGTTTGAGATGTTTTCCCCTCTTAAATAATGTGAATTTTTGCAGAGACAATGATGTCAGAGCCAAGGCTCCATGTTGAAGGCCTTTCTTGGAGTGAGTATAGATTCTAGGTTCTGACGTTGTTTATGATCATAGTACGTGTGTGTATGGGTTCTTTTATTGACATATTTTATCTTTTTGTAATGATTAAGATTATAGCGTAATGTTGACTGCTGTACCCCTAATTTTGACATGCTTACCTATCATGTTTGTTTTGTTCACACATTGTTGTTTATATAACGGAATTGTCTACGACTGACATGTCAAACAAAAGAGAGGTTTAGCTACCTATACAACCAGGTTTAATCCGCCATTTTTTTTCGTATCCAGGTGAGGAATATGGCAGTTGTTACTCATTCGTTTGCTGTGCTTGAGCTTTTCATTTTGCCCCATTTGATTTGAGACTTTTCGTTTTAAATTTTCCTCGGATTTTAGTTTTTTTGTTATTTCACTTTTTGACCTATAATGGTTTACCTGTTACCAACGGTGACTTAGATGGAGATTTGTTTTATTGGCACCCATACCACATCTTTCTATAGCTATATATGATATTATTGACATCGTTTACGTAAAGGATATCGGTCAACTTTGACTTTGAATAACCGTATGACCTTCAATGATGAGCAACCCATAGTAAACTGGTCATGGTCCGGACATGAAAAATGAAAAATCGTTCAAACGAAAAATACTAACAGGTTATTAGGATTATATCAACGTACGAAAAACAAATATGACAGAAAACATAAAACTTCAACCCTTGAATTACTTTGTTCTTATGAGGACAGGAACATATAGATCATGGTGGGATTCAATATGTTTGCAAAACGTTATTTTGTTTTTGTACGAAGTATCATGGACATCCGTTCTTACCAATGTCAAACTGTGGCACCTTTTTCATAGATATCACTTTCGCTTGAATAGACAGGGTAACTGATGCAATAACAGACACAACTGCTAGTTTTGGACGTCTCATGTCCTTCAGTTCTCTTGTAAGAAGATCTTTACCTAAAATTCACACTTTATATATAATATCTTAAATTAGAATTTTAAATAAAGTACTAATTTTTTATTGTATTGAACACGAGAAATAGAAGCCACATTTTGCTTTTTTGTTTAGATATAATACCATTTATAGTATCTGGGAGTGGCATATCCACTACAAAAATGTACTTTGATTTTCATGAAAATTGGCAAAAATTTCTGTTGTCACCTTGCATAAAGAAGATCAATATAAGAAAAAAAGTGGGGCGTAACATGTCACCTTAACTCATCAAATCATATTCATATCTTCTACACGTTTCTGATCCAGTCTTTAATTTTATTGCATATAGAATTGCACTGAAGCATTTGTTTACACATACATGTATGTACATTTCAAATGTAAAACCATACAAGTGATTAAAACCCTTGATTAGTCGTGATTGTTTTACTTTTGAGTAAGAAATTATCATTTGTCTTATCTTTCGCAATTACAATATGCTCTTGAAAATGGCATTTTTGCATTACCTCCAACAGTTATATGACTCCTTATCTACAAGGTTATAACTGACATGTTAAATCAGCATTTCATAATAAATGAACTTACATGTCTCCTTTATGCCTTTCCAATTTCTTCGTAAGCTCCAAAGTACTATCGATATACAGTAAAGCATTACCATAATGCAACAAAGTTGGACGATGAACATATCGGATTGTAATACATCAAGAATATAATTGCCTTCAAATAAAAAAAAATCAAAGATTCAAATTCACATACTTTTTTTTTTTTTTTTTTTTTTGGTATTAGTAAAATTATAATCATCAATTCGCAAATACATTTTCATATCCTGTTGTTGTCCGAATTTGGCTATATTTTTATTCCGGCCAGTAATTCCGATTATACCAATCGAGAGAAGAATTCCTCTCTGACATCACTACTTTGATAATTGAATGTAAAACTAGTACAGATTCAACTGGACATTTTGTTTTCAACGTTTCAAAATTGGCAAAACTTTTAAGAATTTTGGTCCTCAATGCTCTTCAACTTCGTACTTTATTTGGCCTTCTTAACTTTTTTGGAATCGAGAGTCACTGATGAGTCTTTTGTAGACGAAACGCGCGTCTGGCGTAAATACAAAATTTAATCCTGGTATCTATGATGAGTTTATATTCAGTAAAAGAACAATACCAATTACCAATCATAATTATAAAAAAACCTGAAAACAGTTTCGCGAAATGATTTGTTTATTGTTAATCATACTTACTAGTACAGTTGTTGAAATCAGAACTTATGATTGTTATTCGTGTTCCACCAAATTGACATATAACGTTTGCCGTGATGGGACATTTCTTCTTCACGGATTTATATTCCAAATTTATTGCTGCTGAGTAAAACATACCAGATTGATTGATTCGCACTGTGGCAAGATGTTCTAAATGTTTCTCCTGCAAAAATATAAAGAATAGATGTTTGTGTTAAATGACACAGTTATTTGTGGTGGAGGATTCCGGTCTACAAATGTTTTGATAAATCTTTAGAAGAAATTGTTAAACTTGTTAAACTAGAAACTGTATATTTTAATCAGACCATAATATTATATATTTTACATAGAAATAAATGTTATATAACTATTAATACAAAATAATTTTTTTTGAGATATCATATGTAAATAAAGAAGAAATCATCTCTCAATTCTGCATTATTTGTGTTGTAGGCTGCACTTTGTAAATACAGCTGTTTCACAAACTACGCCTCTTTTGGGGAGATATCTAATATTCATAGTTAATTAATGTTGTTTACGTACTGGTTCTTATGTATGATCTCTAAATTTCATCTCGTAGAGACATAACTTCAGAATATTACCAGTAAGTATACATTTGAATAGCGGTCAAATTGAAATCTATGGAAAACCTTAAGTCAAGGTAGGGGTTATACTGAATTTTAGTGTAAGTTTAAACTCTTAGAAGTTCGGGGCATATAAACTTTGAAAATATGCCGCACAGCCCTATATTTTGACCTTTGAAAAAAAATCGTAGTGCATATGAACTTTCCATTCTAGGATAAAAACAAAATTCAAAACTTCATAGCAAAATGGGTACAGTTTTAGCCATAAAAGGAGTTCCTATGTGGAATTGCATTGGCGATATTTACAGAAATGCAACCTTTAAGGTTAGGTTTCGGTCATATTATATTAATTCTTAACAGAGTTTAAAATAAATTAAGCAATTGCCAACTGTTTTTGTATTTTTTTTAATCTTATATCTTATACATGGTGCTGTTACACCACTGTTAAATTTTAGGAAAATGTTGACACTCACAAATATGCTTAACATCGCGACTTTGACATATGCCTGTCCGAAGTTACGATCCTGCTATTCGTTGGTTCTCGTTCGTGTTTTTTTTTTTGTAATATATGTTTATGTTTATTGTTTTGTCATCAATTAGGTCTTTGTTTATTTTTCCGTTTTAATTCTTTCACATGTTGTTAAGCCGGTGCCTTTAATATCTGACTATACTACGTCAATTTTGCTACTTTTTTAAGGTCTTACGTTGACCTCAGGTCAATTGGTCTCTGCTGTATAGTTGTGTCATTGGCAATCACGCCACATCTCCGTATGTGTTATGAGTATTCATGTTTATTGAATACAGACATTACTAAGAACTATGAAAAATTTAAACATAAATTGATGAAAGCCATGGCGAAATGAGATTAGTTTCATAGTAAAGCAAAACATACCCCATATATGATTGAGCAATTGGGCACCGGGTACACCTTTTCTATTTCTATCGACAGAGTCAGAGCTGTTGATGATAGGTTTAAATCTTTCTTTATATCATTTATCTTCGGATGGTCTGTAAAATGAAGAAATGATATTATTAATACACATTTAATGTTTTTATGTATATTGATCAGCTGATATCTGAATAAAAGTTGTTTTGTTTTACTTGGTACTAGCTCGAATAAACAATTATAATATATGTATTGTTAATAAGTGTCAAGCTAACGATTGACATAAATTCAAATTTCAGTTTCAGCAGTCAAATATTTGAATCTGTTGACTGTTTAGTTATGCTGATAAGATTTGTAACTCACACTCAAAATTTGCTGACGACAAAGACACATTTAATCGACACTCTTGAAATCCCAAAGTACAGCAGATCTGTTGATTCATATCATTTTCTGAGAAGTTCGAGATAACAAGCCGGACTTTCTGGCATGACAGTACTTCTTCAGTGAATCTTGATGCATTTTCAGATCGGAATCCTTGTGATATAAACAAGTCAGGACTATTCAGTTTGTGCCCTCCCATCCATGTTCTGGTATCATTGCCAACACATTGGGATGTAGAATTTTTCTCACAAAAGATGGAAACGTCTTTTCCGATGCTGACAAGATTTGCATCAATGCCACAGGTTACTAAACGAGAAAAAATAATGTATCACACAATCATTTTGTGTTTTTAAGAGATATGCGATGATTAGGTGATACACATATGTCACTTAAATTAAATAAAACAAACAAACAAACTTTTTGAACTACAGTTTCACATAATCATTTGTTTTTCAACTTTTAATTCGTGTTCATAACAACAATTCAATCATTAAAAAAAGGGGCGAAAGATGCCAAAAGGGACATTAAAACTCAATATTCGAAAATAGACTGACAATTTCATGGCTTTATAAACAATACAAACAGACAAATAGACAAACAGTACACAAAACAAGACATATACAAATAAAAGCTGGCCAGCACAAACCCAATAAAAACGGGGGAGGGGATATAATGAGCTTCGGAATGGTAAGCAGATCCTGCTCAATATGTGGCCCTGTCGTTTTGCTCATGTAAGTACAAACCCGGTGGTTAGTTTATTTCGGTAGTTTACATTTTGGACTGGATTGTTGTTTCGTCAACTGGTTCTTATTCGGATAGAACACAGCAAAGTAATATGTTTAGATTTCTTAAGAACATAGTCATTGAAACGGGACTTTGTCGAAACGTAGGGCTCAATGAACATTATCATGATTTACCTACATTTGAACTACTTTTTGTGCAATTTTACGCGCTAGAAACTATCTTGAATATGTCTATTGCTCGGCCATACCTAAGAGTAGAGTATTATCCTTAAATAAATAAAACCTGTCAGTTTAAGGATGTACACCTCTGAAGATCCAAAAATTTCTAGAATTAAACTTTTTTTCTTAACCTGATTTTTGGGTTTCTATGACTGTAAAAAAATAATTGGTGAAGAAAAAAACATATGGTGGTGCACATCTTTTTTTGCTACGGCCCTTTGAAAGTACCCAATTTTGATGATTTTTCCCATTTTTCATCAATTTTTACCTATTTTTGGGCTATTTTCGTGAAAAAAAATCACAGTTCCACAATTAAACTTTTAATAAAGATGACGTGGACCAATCTGAATAAATTTAACTTAAAACACTATAGGTAGGTGTTAATATAAGAAAGTTTTATCATATTTTGATGCTTTTTTGTGTCAAATTTACCATGCTGTCAATTTTGTAAATTTGTGATTTTTCTCTGTTTTAAGAACAAAATGCATATTATTTCAACTTCTCTGTTATAAATGATTACAAAAATATATATATAAGAAATTTGAGAAGAAAAAAGTGATATGGGATGTACATGTTTCTGGTAAAATCATTTTCTTGTACCCCTCAAAATTTTGGCTAAAAAGACTGACTTGATTGGTAATAAAATTTGAAAAATTGATTACTCAAAAACTATTCATTGTAAATACACAATTTTTTCACAGAGTTAAGTTTGATTATAACATTTTTTAAATTCATTGATATTTTCCACTTGTATCACATGTTTTGGAAATAATTCCAGAACGAGATTTCAACGAGACTGAAACGTCAGAAGAATACATCCTTAACGTACATGTAATATATAGATATAATAAGATGTGGTATGAGTGCCAATGAGACAACTCTCCATCCAAGTCAAAATTTATAAAAGTAAACCATTATAGGTCACAGTACGGTCTTCAACACGGAGCCTTGGCTCACACCGAACAGTATAAAAGTAAACCATTATAGGTTTATATATATATATATGACAAAATCAATTAAATTACTTTCGACTATTTTAGTACATGTATTTCTGCCATTTCGATTACATTTAAGAACCTTGTAAATTTTTTAATTTAATTGAAGTATATTTTACAAACATTTCTGTCTTTCTAAACCCACCTTTAGAAGAGACAGAAAGAAACATACACGAATATATACAGTAAATGATATAACTAATGATGATGAATATAAAGAACTCATTCAAAATCGTATCAGAATATGTTCTATGGTTGAAGCGTTCTTCTAATTTGATTCTACCGAAAAAACTTTTCCGAAGGTGCAATAATGACAGATATAAAGACTGTTCTAAAACAGTCCTCCTGACAGAATATAAGACGAAAGCAATGATCCGAACTTTAGATTAGGTAGTAGTCTAGCATCATTTGGTCGAGAAAGTAATGTTACGAATTATTGTCTAATAGACAGTTTCCTGTGTTTTTCCCCTTCGTCGTGTTTTGCTTTTTTTCATTACATTGTCAGTTTTTCCCTGACGTAGCATTATTGAATAACCCGTTTTGTAGTTTTTTTACAACAACAGCTTTGATTGGTTTGTTTTTCTATCTTTTTTTTTTGGGTAAGGTGTTGGTTTTTATTTTGTTTTATGGCATGGCGATGTCAACTTGTCATTGAATTGTAATTTTAAGCATTCCTTTGTTATCTTCCATACCTCTTTGACATAAATATTTAGTACGACAATTAACGTTTACAACTACGAAATAATAACGGCAAAAAATATTGTTCTTTGTACTTTTGTGATTTTATTTTCAAATTTAAATTGAATTGCTGTCCTGCATGTTTTTTTAAGAAGCTGATGATTGTATGAAGGTTATCATAATTGCAGGAAAAATACTTCTGATTTAGACTACAAGGTAAAACTACTTTGCATTGATATGTATACTTGTAGTAAGGGGAAAATAATATTTCCATGTTTTAAAGTGTTTATAAAGACAACATTATGTGATATTCATTTTTGGAACCAATTGATGATGAGTCCCAAAAGATTGGTTCTAAGAGCATACTCAGATTTTCAACTACACTGAACATGGCCAATAGTTGATGTAACATTAGATCGCGATTTGTAAATAGCAAACAATTAATTAAAGTTTATCTGAAGCGTATAACATGTAAAAATAAAATACAAAATCATGGGATTATCCGTTTTATCCAAACACTTTACATATTTTTGAAAAGTATTTAATACAAAATTATCGTTGTTAGATAAGATCGACATTGGTAAGTTATAATTTACATTGAACATCGCCACGAGAATCATTATGAAATATTGTGTAATAGTACTTACCTGAAATTTATGATAGTTTTCTAGTTCAATAATGTCGTCTGTCATTAAATTCGCCTTTTCGATTTCTAAATATAGATGTGTATACTGAAAATGAAAAAAGAAACGCATATTTATGACAAATCATATTTAAATTGCAAGTAAAATTAAACAGAATAATTGCAATGAAGTCATCAGCTCAAACATGATTCGTATGAACAGTCTTGCAAGCGAAAAACAAATTATCGTGGCAGCTCGCCAAAAAAGTCAAGTGTACACGACTGTCAATCACAATTTGCCATAATATGTTATACAGTCTCATCTTTTGCAGTTTATAAATACTACCCTTCAATAACTTATGTAGATATATTCAATGAGTCATGCATACTGAGTTGGATCTCCGTTTGACTGTAGTATTTATGAAGCCGAATCCGTTTCTGCATTTCTAAGCACACCCTGTACAGAACATAACTAATTTTCAGATGTCCTGATTTCGAGTTACGATTCTGAACAAGAGACATTCACAAACATGCTATCATTTTAAAAATAAGGAGATGTGGTATGATAGGCAATGCTACTAATTATTCTCTATAGTTCAAACGAAGGACATGAAAGCAATTAAAGGCCTTCAATAATGAGAAAAACTAATACTGCTTAATTTGCACCGATATGCAAAATGAGACAAGAAACGAGAAAACTAACAACTTTAAGCTCTTTCTCCTCTGGATTTTTTCCCGAAAAGATAAACTTAAGGTATTTGTCTATTTTTTAGCTTGTTTGTTCATGATTTATTTCAATGATACTTCAATATTGTTGTAATACATTATTTTCTGTCCTAAACATTTGTTATCATAAAAAATACCCATTTCTTTATTTGTGCAGTATATTTTCTTCCGTAATGTTACCTGTCCTAGTGGGTGTAAGACCAAATGTCAAATCTTTTACAAAAAAAAATCTTTGTGTGATCAAATATGAATTAAAAGGCCACATTTATGAAACAAAACAAAAAGAATTTCTAAATTAGATTGCTCTGTTTAATTTTGATAAAAGGATAATATATTTATATTTTGTATATTATATCAATGGATTTAATATTTTCGTATCTACAAGGGAGAATATTTCATAAAAAGACAAAGTATTTACTAAATCATGATTATTTTCTTCTATTATCAATAGCTCAAAAGATAAAAGAAAACAAATACGATGGTTTTAAATAATTGCCAATGAGTCAATTAGCATTATAATTTTCCAAAGACTAATGAACAAGATGTAAACATCTACAGGTAATCTTACGTTATATTATATACATCAATGATCATGACTCAGCGTATATGCATTCAGTATGGAAGTCACAATGAATATCGGAACCCGTTTTAACTGATATCGATCAAAAGGAGGTCAATTAATTAATTCCGCGTGTTCCATATCTTTCCGTTTTCATAGGAAAAGAGAGGTGAACGATACCAAATACTTATAAGTCTTAAATAAACTGACAACTTCAGGACTAAAATAGAAAAAAGACCATTATGTAAACAACAGTAAAACAATACAACATAGAAAAATAAAGACAGAGCAGCACATACCCAACAAAAAAACTGGTGCTGATCTCAGGTGCTCCAGAAGGGTTTATATGGCATCAATCGCACTAGTACTGCTCTGTTATTACCAATCCAATGATAAGTCTAATTTGGTAGATCACATCCGGGGAAAAGGGGACGAGATTATAGTTAGGACATTTGGAACGTATCCGCTATCATCTGTAAAATTTACGAAAGGATTATTTCAACTTCACTTCTAGGAACTCTTGGTTTAAAAGCTTCAATGTGAGTAACAACCGTCTATCAAGCAAACCATGATAGGAAATTCAAGCCCTGGAGATATATACTCCATTGGGCGCTGCTGGACTATTGCGTATGGAAATGGAAAAGTTACAATATGGAAGCTGAAATCATCCTTTTTATCGTAAAGTTTTGTTTTTAACCGACCCTCATTGTCAATTTCTAGATGTAAGTCAAGATGTCAAGCAGACTTACCAGTATCTGTT